ACATATCTAGAGAGCATATACCTAAATATTTTTTAATCTAAGGTAATCCTAAAAACTATTCTGTCAATTGTATCTGCTAATTATGTAGGGAACCATATGTCTTCCAACGTGACACGAGCCGAAATAACAAATTATGGGCTTAGGTATCTTCTGAAAATAAACTCTATAGTATATCTGAAATTGATCCAATGCAGAGTCAAAGCCCCAGGACACTCATAGTGGAACATCGCAAATGATGTCATAGAATAATAAATTTAGTTCCTAAGGAACAAATTATCTTGATAATAAAGATAGAAAAGGAGGAAGAAGTGCATGCTTAAAAATCCTTGTTTAGGAAAGCGAGTATTCGATGTTGTGAAATGAGAGGTGAAAAACATGTCCACCAGTAACGATAACTTAGGAAGTACTAAAGGAAGCATGTGCGATGAAAGTAAACAAAAATAAAAATAAAAATACTGCACCTAAGGTCAAGAAAGAAGGATTGATAGTAAAAGGCGAGGCCACTCCTGCTAGGTAATGAATAATTTTCACATAAAAGGAAATTATCATCAAAAAGAGGTGATACCACGTCCAGTTATCTTTAATAGTCATGACATAATTGTAGAAGCACACAAAATGCATATGAATGAAAAAGTTATGGCAGGGGAAGGAACAGTATCCGCATACTCAATGTTGTCAGGATGATCTAATAAAAGTTTCATTTGGAGACCAGCATTGTCAAAATGTGAAATCAGGACAAGAACGATAGATTTTAATGTTGATATAAACTCATTATTAATGCATCTACGAAGCATGCCTAAAATAACAAATGAGAAACAATGAAAAATCGAAGTGGGCTAGATGAACAAATTCGCGTAACAAACAAAAATAATATCTTAGAAATAAAATTTCCAAGACAAAGCAATTTTATATAAATAAAGAATGAAGCTTCGCTATCATTTAAATAATGAGACAAAAATAAGCTATCCTAATTTACCAAGGACTAGAGATTTCTCAAAAGATGGATTGTCCTAATTAACTTGAGCTTTGCCCCCTAAAGATACCTCGCTTGTGAGTGCAAAAAATGAAGTGTCAATAGACTCATTAATAGCCACATTCCCACTTGGGAGGATAATTGAAGAATCAAATTGAGAAAGGTCGGCATGAATGGATGGAGTATTCGAAACCCCAAAGGCCAATGAATGAACCTCAAAAGAAATGGTACCCTCGACATCATCTCCATGAGCCTCCAAAAAGTCTATATTCCACTCAGGATAAAAGCTTTTGATAATGTCAAGTACTTTGTTCCCCCATCCTGCATAGCATCCTCAACTAACTTCACCTTGTTAGCAGCTGCTCAAGAAAAGCTAGACCCCTTGGACACTAATTTTTTCTCAGTATTTTTCAATCTATGACGAAGCACAACTATCTCATTCCTTACATTATTTAGTTCCATTAAAGCAACTTTGTGCTTAGACTTAGTCGTTTGAAACTCTTCTCCACGATGTGAAGCATCACGCTTAGCCCTTGCAATATAGGTTGCATTTGCTTCGTTCGCCAAATTTAAATCTGAAGAGATCTTCATTGCATTAGAAAACTAAGGAAGCCTTTGCCACAAAATCTTTAGCATCCTTACTCATTTTCTTATTCTTGTTTATCTCACTGTCAACCTCATTTAGCTTTTTTGAAGACTATTACACATCTTCCCAAAGGAGCTTTGAAAGAAAAAATTATCGAGTCTCAAAATATTTAAACTTTATGTCAATAGAAAAATTGTGAGAAACATCTTATTCTCTTCTTCGTAGCCTTTATGACTTGAGTATTTAACTTGTTCGGTATCTTAAAACTTAGTGCCCTATAGTCATTTAACTTGGGAGTCATAGATTTAAAACTCATTACAAGAGTCATTTATTAAGCTTAATGACGAAAAGTCTGTACATAAGATAAGAAAAAATATACATGCTCACATATAGAAGGAGAAAGAAAAGTTTTACAACAAAAAATTTAACATGAGCTTTTTATTAAAAGGTCCTACTAGCATTAGTTTTGACTTTCATACTTTGAGGAAACTATTCATTCACTAGTAATTTTTTTCATGTCCTTTCTCTTTGATTTAAGGTTTTGAATTTTGCTTACGGGAGACTAGTGAAACTTTTCACACATGGGTTGCATATACAATTTACTCCATACTGGTTTAAAATGAATTATTTGGGAAAAGTTCACTGTTTATAAATTATATATAGCACCTTTCTATTTCTCATTTTTTGAATTTGAGAATGCATTTTTGGACCATTGTATTCCTACAAATGTGTCCAAGTTTGAGATAGGGAGTTAAAAAAAAAGGGTTGTGTCATTGGCAATGATATATATATATATATATATATATAAAAGAACCATTAAAATGTGCAGCCAAAATGGGAAACAGACAAGGCCATATATAAGTAGCTAATAACTGTTCAAGATATTTGAGCTTTCATTACTTGATGTTATATTTTAAAATCTATGAAAAAGAGTTCTTTCAATTTTTTTCTCTGATCACATGTTTTACATAATTTTGCTTGTCGATGTGCATAATTTTTTATGCATTCCTCTCCGTGTTATTCATGATTATATTACTTGTTTCCCTTTGTTATTCATGATAAAAAAGGGAGGGAGAAATTGGTATTTTGTTTATGGGGAGTTGAGTGTATGAGTTAGGGGGAGAAATTGATACATTGTTGAGATAGATATGAATTGTTGTGTTTTTTACTTATATATTTGAGTTAACTGGAGTTATTTTGATTTCTGGATGGAATGTCAATATTGATGTTGTGTTTAGTGTTTTGTCAATATTGATATTGGTATTCTATAGCTCAACTTGTCATGTTTAGTTTTCAAGTTATTGATGCACGTGGTGTTATGTGTTTTGGTGTTACACATGTTTTGCTTGCGTTATTTATACAACTTAGTTATGTGCTTAATTGTTAGTTTCCAATTGCTTTTACATGTGATATTGTTGATTTCACGTGTTTCAGAAAAATAGATATCACAACTGTTGACTTGAAGTTTGGAAATTGAGTCTTCGAGTTAATAGTGTTAGGTTGTGTTTATTTTAATTTTGAAATAAATAAATTTGTCAATAAATGCCTAATGGGGAGCTTGTTAGGTCCATATTGTAATTAGCTAGTTTTCATGTTCAAAATCATAATTATTAAATTGTAATTAAAGTCAAATAATTGGGAGTCAATAGTATATGTCTTGAAGGACTTGAAGAAGTCAAAGATGAACCAAGTAGAAAAAGTAGTCGTAAAAACGCTCGATGACTGTATTCGCAATTTGATGACTTTTTACAACCTCATTTAACCTTAAAACACTTCATACTATATATGTCTAAGCCATAATTCATCTCAAATATCTTTAGTTTTAGTGCTTCGATCATTATTTGATGCAAGAGAACATCATTTGAAGATCATAAACATATTTTATAATTCTCTTGATTCAACCACAAGATCAATATACAAAAGATCAAATACCAAAAATCATTACCTTTACCAACAAACCTTTATTGTTTTGAAATTGGGAAGAGAGCTGGAGTTCCAAAACAAGTTCGTTCTTGGTGATCCATGCAAAGGAAAAAGAAATCAAGAGTTGCTGAAAAGTGCATATTGCACAATCGAAGAGCTTCTTCGGTAATTTACATGTTAGATTAGAGTTTATTGAGATTTAATTTTGTTTAGACCAATTGTAAGTTATCTTTTCTAGTGGATCGTTTCGACAATGTTAGACCTAAGCTTTTTGATTCCTATGAAGAGTTCTTCAAGGAATTTTTCTTTGTTACCAAATTCGGTCTTATTTACTTCTATGCTCTTTTATTTTTTTTATTTTTTTTTATTTTTTTTTTTTGGTATATTGCATGATTGATACTTAAGAGCTTAGTTTGATATTAAACTTAATCATCTAGAAACGATAAACAAGTGACTTGTTACTTTTTATTGGTTGATTGTTTCCGCACTATACACCTCTAGATGATGTTGGATCTAAATGCCATTCGTGCTAATTATTTTCTGAAGTTAGTTCAACATCCAACATTCCAATTGCTCATTGGAACAATTATTTTGATATAGGTTGGAGAATGAGCATCCAAATAACAATGTTACTACAGTGACAAGTTTAATTTCAGGTTCAATGACAGAGGGGACACGTGTCAATACATGATTGGACAGTTTGGAAAAAAAAAAAAAAAAGCAACAACAACAACAACAACAAAACAACACTCAATTACTGTCTACAACACTATCATGTCACCTTCATCATTAATATTGACCTTGTCCGAGGAGCAATTAGAGCTGTGATAAGAGTACTACTTCCTGTTCACGACGTGTATGATGAAGATTGATGCCTATTCACAACGATTACTAAATGAATACCAGTTAGGGATCATACAACTTGTTCAAAGGACAGTAAATCCAATTGAACTTGTTGATTATCAAGATAACAACTTCCTTCTCTTTTCATTATTCAGTTCAGAAAAAAAAACGTGTGCTTGTACACAGAAAAGGTACATAAAATGCATTTTCTGGCATCTTGCAGCAACTATTTAATTACTGTTTTGATTCTTAGATTGAGTGGAGATAAAACGCTTTTGTGTTAAATCGGCATAGAGGTGGAGAATCGGGCAGGCCAGGCCAACATATGGTTGACGACCTTTGTGTTAAATCGGCATAGAGGTGGAGAATCGGGCAGGCTAGGCCAACATATGGTTGACGAAGCCCTGGTGGACATATGCATGCTATGGACCGCTCATCACCTGTGCAAGTTTTTAAAAAACTGTCATGCCCACTGAAAGTATGAGAACTGGTTACCAGGTGAAGTGCGATTCATATCTTTATTTGTAAACATTGTGGCAGAAACCTAAATTCTAAAACCTCTGGAAAAATAGTCTCGTAAAGACTCACGATCGCATGGATAGAGTATTCAAACTCACATGAGAAGCATTTTTCCAACATAATGAAAAGAGAAGTGTTCATCTTCCAGTTACTTACAAACAGAACATGATGTTGAAGGCATCGTGCATCTTGGTTAAGAACTTCGTGGGACGGTGTGAAATGGGAAGGCATGAAGGTGGTGTGGAAGGCTCAGATTTCTTCTCCTTCTCCCTTCTCCTTAACTGAAAGAACCGTTGCATAGCATCAGCACACTCTGAAGCCAATACTCGTCGAATTGTTATTTTGGGGTGGAACGGGTGAACTGGAGCAGCAGGCTTGTCCATTTGTTCCAACCCATTTCCACCATCTCAATTCAAACTCACATGAGAAGCATTTTTCCAACATAATGAAAAGAGAAGTGTTCATCTTCCAGTTACTTACAAACAGAACATGATGTTGAAGGCATCGTGCATCTTGGTTAAGAACTTCGTGGGATGGTGTGAAATGGGAAGGCATGAAGGTGGTGTGGGAGGCTCAGATTTCTTCTCCTTCTCCCTTCTCCTTAACTGAAAGAACCGTTGCATAGCATCAGCACACTCTGAAGCCAATACTCCTCGTCGAATTGTTATTTTGGGGTGGAACGGGTGAACTGGAGCAGCAGGCTTGTCCATTTGTTCCAACCCATTTCCACCATCTCCACTAGGTAAAAGCCTACAGTTTGTTAATCAAAAATCAGATTAGACCAGTTTCACTATATAACAGTGTAAGATTCAATGTTATTTTTTGTAAAGTAAGGCAAAATATAAGCAGTTTATGTCAATGCGTAAATGAATTTCCATTAAAATTTTGAAAAGAAGGAAAAAATATATAAATTATACGTCAAATTGTAAAGCAAATGATAAAAGACAGAAGGTCCTCTATGCTGTTCTTGACGAAACTGTGAATACATGTCTTGGAAGGCCATAAGCACTAACAATGACAAAAAACTTGTAAACTGGATCCTTCCCAAATGAACTAATTATGTTATGAGAAGACGACCACAAGAATACAAATTACCCATAATTGGAAAAAAAACAAGGAGAAATACATCGTAGCAGCGGAATTGGCAACAAATTTGAAGGTAAGCAATGTGATAATTTAGACATAATTTTTGAAAAACTAGATTTATCCACCACGATTTACAGAAAATGAGCAGAAAGAAGCCAACATCTCGGAAATCGTGGACACAAGCCTTTGAAGAATTTGTGTGAGCTCAAAATTTTGAAACAGTAAATTGGATGCCAGATGAATAACGAGAGAATTGGTCAGCCAGAAATTGTAGTGAGCTCAAAAATACGGTAATACCAAGAATTGACAGTTAATATTTCAAATTCACGATGAATAATTAGTCTAAAATGGTTGCTAGATAAACTAGTTTTCATCCTTTACTAACTGATATAACCCTTCTTCTCAACGTAAATCCCACTTCACTTTCTTGAATAATAAGGTTAAATACGCCAATGGTCACTAAAGTTTTGAGTAATTATGCCAATGGTCATTGAAGTCATTTTGTTATGGTAATAGTCACTCAAATTTCTAAACGTTACACTAATACTCAATTGGTTAAAAAAATTAAAATTAAATCCTATATGGCACCAATAAGTGCTAATGTGTCTCCAAATAACATTATTTATTAAGCCAAGTCTGTAAATATCATTGTTAAAAGGAAACTATGAGTTTACAATATGATTTAAGGCAAAAAATGTGACCAAAATTTAAACCACATTACATTTTCTCATCTTAACATGTATAATTCCCAATTATTAATGCACCAATTTAATGACGTAGGTGTAATAAATAACGTCATCTGGTGACATGTTGGTACTTAATGGTACCATGTAGGATATAATGTTCTCTGACCAATTGACCATATGACAGTTACAAACTAAGTGATTATTATTATAAGAAATAATTTCAGTGACCATTGGGCGTAATTACTCAAAACTTCAATGACGGTGGTGTAGAATAATACATTATTAAACGTGCAAAAAGTAGATAACCAAAACTTTGAATTAAGATACGGTAAGATAGATAATAAATTTACTTATTTCGAGGAAAAGAAACAATCATTCACATAATTCTATGTACACAGAAAAAATAGGAGAAGACCGATGGGGATGATGAATTTGTAAACTCTCATAATTTAAGCTAATATACTGCACATACAAACCTATATTTTGAATAAAAAGAGCTATTCATAAAATCAAAAATCGAGTGGAGAACATATACTTAGTAACAAATGATTCCTAATTCATTTTACTAATGAAATAAAAAATCAGGTAAGAAAAAGGAAAGAAGAAAAATAATTGAATAGAAATTCAATATTTGAGATAAAGAAATTAAGTAAAAAGTTAAGATTATGCAGGGGAAACTTGTTTAGCTTTTAGTACAAGTAATGGTCCAAACTGAAATTTGAATGAATAGTTTAAAACAGTAAAATTTTCTTTAGTGGTTAATGATCCTTTAGTTGCATAATATTATTACAAAACTAAGTTGTCTAGTGATACACAATGAAGGCTTAAAAAAATAATAATAATAAATAAATAAATAAAATCATGTGAAAGATTTGCAAATAAATCAAGCGAATTCATATTTTCTTGTTTCATTCTTTTTTGACCGGCAAAATAAGAGGCATTTGGAAAATAAAGAAATTTGGAAGGGCAGAAGAGGCAATTTATGAATTATGACTTCAATCCTGTTGTAAAGAGTGACCTAAGCCACCTATTTGAGGACATGAGGTACTATTGCATTTATTTTCAACTAGCATTGAAACATAGGAATTTACGTCACGGCCTGAGTACAGAAGCAATGTAATTGCAAGAACTTTTGCAAGAGATCAACTGGCTTCATGGATAAGAGACGACCAAAACTCAATGTTCTTCAAAATAACTAATTACCAAATTAAACTAAATGTGAGAAAAGAATCTATAACAACTGAAAATATCATAGTTAAACAGCTTACCTAATCCAGCTGCCATCAGCTCCTAGTAGCTTATTGGGGGCTCCCCACACAACAGTGTCAATTCTAGCTTGAAGTATTGCTCCAGCGCACATTGGACATGGTTCAAGAGTAACATAAAGTGTAGTTTCCTGCATAAAAGGAAATTCAGGTACTCACATGGTCTTGCTACTCTATTCGCATAATCTACATCCAATACAAAATAGCAGAAGTGTTAAGAGCGCGGAAGACAAAAAGTTTCTAAAGATTTAGTACTCAGAACTTAGTTGCATCAAACACATGATCTATGTTATTAACCAGATACAACTTAGGTCACATCATCTTCCTATATGATACAGCACCAACGGGACAATTAATTGAAAATTAGAACAGATCTATAGAGAAGGGGAATTAAAGAGAAGAATAGGGGAAGAAGAAGATTCAACAGAAGGGGAAGAAGAAAATAGGAAAAAAGGAAGTCGCCATAAGCCACCAAAATACTATTCAATCATCAACTAAAAATTACAGAGCAAAGTATGTTTAAATAGTAAAACAAACCCTAACGAGATTGGGCCCGAGCCCATACAAGTCCAATTTTAATTGTCCAAGAAAATAAATAAAGCGCAACTTTGATAATAAAATAACTAAATATCCGATGTCCTCATCCTTTGATACTTGGACTCTTCGAAATGGTTGGAGTACCCGTGTCGAACACGACACGACATGGGTATGGGTATGGGATATGTGTCGGATCCTCCAAATTTTAACCGGACACTTCGCCGTTTTTTACTTCTTTTTTCTTTTCCTTTTCTTTCCCGTTTCCAATAATTGAAAACTAAACTCCAAAATTATATTTTATTAGTCTTAACATCTTATTTAATACTCATTTCCTTTTTTGTGAATTATTGATTTTGGTCTATTCAAAATGATATCTTGGGTTACTAAAAAAAATTGAAAATTGAAAAACGTACCCATGTACCCGTATCCGAAATTTGGATTCTTTTTAACCATGTCCCCGTATCCTAAATTTTAAAAAATAAAAGATCCGACACTTAGATACGTACCCGTATCCGTATCCGAGTCCGAGCATCATAGTTCTTATCAACTCTCTCGGGGTAGGAGAAAACTCGACCCTGTCAAGTGGATATATCACTATAGGCTGTCGTCAATTTCCCAACCATAAGCTAAGTGGTTAGGCAAGCTTCTTCCGGCGTCTGTAAAAATGTGTCAGTGGAGATCTGAACCTGGTGTCCTCACCAACTCCCCTTGGGTGAACGGGAGGTGATCTGGGCCAAAGAAAATCCTGCTGACTCCGATAAAACTCCAATAAATCTGGATCCAATTGCTGTAGTGTCTCTCTAGAAATCCTTGTACAATCAAAATCTGGTCCACCAACCCAACGAACGAGGAAGCGCTGAGCCTCTCCATCATTAGTAAACACAGTTTCTTCATCTAAAATAGTATCCATTTTATCTGTGTGTGTTGTGAGAGGTGGTAGTGGGTTAGAAGTGGCCAAATAGTCGGGATCAAGGTCCACAAAAGGAGGTAACAAAGGATCATCTGAGGGAATGAAATGATCTTTATAAGCTACTAGGTCCTCAACATTGAAAGTGGAGTGGTAACCAAGTGGTGGAATGTCAACAACATATGCATTTGGACCAACTTGCTTTAAAATTTTAAAAGAACCAGCACTACGAGCTTGCAATTTGGAGGCGGGACCATGTAGACGCCGCTCTTGCCTAATGCGGACCATAACGTAATCCCCAACATTAAACTTAATATGTTGTTTTTCAAATCAGCTTGGAATTTATATTTTGCATTACTAGCTTCAAGTTGTTTATTGATCTCAATATGCAAATCACGAAGATGTTGTGCAAATGCTTCGGCTAACACTGACACTCTAGCCTGTGGGGACATAGGGATGAGATCTAAAAGTTTCCTAGGCTTGTACCCATGAACGGCTTCAAATAGACTCATACCTAATGAACGATTTATGGAGCTATTATATGCAATTTGAGCTACACGAAGGATCAAATCCCAACTTCGATGATCCCAATTTCGAAGGTTTTCCCAGACTAGACAATGTAATAGGTTAGTAAGACTTCCATTAACTACTTCAGTTTAACCGTCAGTCTGAGAGTGGTAGGCCGTAGAAAATTTCAATTTTGTACCCATCTTTTGCCAAAAAGTCCTCCAAAATGGCTAGTGAAACGAACATCCCTATCGGACACAATGGACTTAGGAAGCCCATACAATTTAACAATCTCATTAAAGAACAACATGGCCACCTTAGACGCATCTAAGGTCTTGCTACAGGGGATAAAATGAGCCATTTTCGAAAAACAATCAACAACCACAAAAATAGAATCATGTTTCTTTGGGTGCGTGAAAGGCCTAATACAAAATCCATACTAACATCTTCCTAAGGACAATTGAGGACAAGAAGAGGGGTGCATAGGCCTGTGTTTTGCCTCTTCTGTTTGCTCAATTGACAAGTGTTACATGTACTAACAATCTTAGTCACATCTTTCTTCAAGCTAGGCCAATAGAATTGGCGTTCAACTTCCTCTATGGTCTTATCACGTCCAAAGTAACCGAACCCTCCAGCATGCATTTCCTACACTATGAAATCTCGCACTGAAATTCGAGGGATCCACAATTTATTGGCTCGAAAGAGAAAACCCTCCTCAAGTCGGAAGCCATCTGTGGTGTTTGATAGTCCCCTTTGCAAATCGAGAAAGATATCCTTAAAATCGGGACATGCCTCGTAATCCTCCTTAAACCTTTCAAAACCAATGACCTTGACACTCATGATCGACAAAAGGGAGACACGACGACTTAATGCATCAGCTGCTTGGTTCTCTACGCCCTTCTTATATTTTAAAACAAATGAATAGGCCTGTAAATATTTAATCCAACGACCATGTCTAGAGCTTAATCTCTTCTGGGAGTTGAGGTAACGGAGGGCCTCGTGGTCCGAATAAAGGACAAATTTCTGGAACAACAAATAGTGGCGCCAATAGCGCAAAGCCTGGACAACCGCATACAGTTCCTCATCATAAGTTGAGTACCGTTGTTTGGCTTCATTTAACTTCTCACTGAAGCAGGCAACAGGGTAACGATCCTGACTCAAGACTCCGCCTATACCTACCCCGGAGGCATCACATTCAACTTCAAAGACTTTGGAAAAGTCAGGAAGATACATGACAGGAGCCTCCGTCATTCGCCTCTTGACCAACTTAAAGGCCTTAGCCGCCCCTTGTGTCCAAAGAAACTCCCCTTTCTTCATGCACTCCGTGATAGGCGCCATAATAGTGATAAACTCTTTCATAAAGCGACGGTAAAATGTAGCTAAGTCGTGAAAGCTCCTGACATCATAAATAATCTTAGGTTCAAGCCAGTTAAGAATCGCTTGAACCTTGGCAGGATCAACAGATATCTCTGTCGAAGAGACAATAAACCCCAAGAAAATGATTGTATTGGTAAAGAAAGTGCACTTCTTGACGTTAGCATACAGATTAGTTTCATGTAGGGTAGAGCAAACTTATGTAAGGTGGTTACAGTGTTGCTCCTTAGTCTTACTATAGATGAGAATCTCATCAAAGTAGACAACAAAAAACTTACCCATGAAAGGTCGAAGAGC